GACAAGTGCCAGAGCTTCCCCTTGGACCCTGAGTTTGCCTTCTATGATAATACTACTTTTGGCTTGACGGAGGCAGAGCAGCAGATGATCGACCTCCCTGGGTATTTTGGCTCAAATGAAGAGGATGAAACGAGTACTTTAAGCGTTGAGAAGCTGGTGATCTGAGTGACTCATTGCAGCCCTGCAGGAGGGGCCTGTGTGGGAGAGGATCTGCTGGATCCATTGGCTTCTGGTGGAAGGAGCAGCGGGAATGGTGTTCCCTCCACACGGAGCGGGAAGGAGTAAGTGCCCCAAGTCTGGCTTGTGGGAACACGTTCCTGTCTAATTACTGGAAAGTGCTTCTGTATCATTATTTTTTGTATGTATGTGTGTACAGTACACACAAATCACCCTGGGAAAGCACGTGTTAGTGAAGGCGTGATGCAGGAGCAACCAAGAGATTTTATTGCATAAAGCGGTCACGTTTCGTGCATTGTACGTGATGAGTGCCACTGATCTAGCCTTCCTCACCTTGTGGACCGTGGACTAGTAGATTGTGATGTCCGAAAGCATTCGTCGTCCAGTATCCTCAGCCATCTGTCCTAATTAGTGAAGTCGTTTCCCGTGTAGAGAACACAAATCTGGAGTTGTGAGCAGTCTTCCTCGTTTTTCTGGTAGCCTTTATTGCACTGTGTTGATTCGTCGTAGTTGCTCAAATAAGTCAGGTGGTGGCGTTTCTTTTAGCTGGGTGCATGAAGGTGCAAGCCACGGATGCTGAGTACTCGGGGTGAATTTAAAATTGAGGGGGGCATTTTTCATCATTCAAGACTGATGTTTTCTTTCTGCTGGTATTTATACCCACAAAACAGTCAGGTACAAATATTTGCAGGAAATGAGCAGAAAAGGGCAGGCTACTGGGAGGGCAAAGAAAAATGGATGATCAAGTTTTAGTGCTCACAGAAATGTTACTGCAGCATTTAACCACCTGTAAAAGGCAGTGAGAACTGTTGAATCAACCATCCTTTCCATTATCAGCTTTGCCTTTATTAAACTTTTAAAAAATGTAAATAAATTGACGATAATACTACTACAGCAAGCTCAAAATAAATTATGAACAAAACCAGCGAGCAACAAATTTATTTGATGAATACCTGTTTTGTGAACAAAGCGAAAAAATAAAATGACCTAACAACATCTGGTGATTCCCAGAGAGTCTTATGGGGGAAATATAAATGTTGTGGGGCTCTTTTTGTGCTTTAAAACCAGAGATCACAAATTGGCGATGACACACTGCTGCAAGTATTCAGAGCTGGGTTGAAACCCCAGTTAACGACGGAGTCGGAGCTCGAGCCAGCGGGAATGAGTCAGAGACTTTGCTTGGCATTTGTCAGGATCGCCGTCTCTTCAGGGAGCTTGCAGAGAGCAGGGGAATGCTCCTGGGCAAGAAAAGAGGAGGTGCTGCTGGTTGAGGATGGAGTGAGAGAAGATAGGTTCAGGCAGAGGACTCTCAGTCTTCCAACAGCTCTCCCATGAGGAGCCCAAAGCTACGTGCCCTTTAACCCGCCCCGTGGGTGTGAAGGAAGAATGAGCACGTGCTCTGGCAGGAGCCTGCTGTCTTTCTCCAAACTGGCTTTCTGAGCAGAAGGCAAGATTTCCCAATCCCGCACCTTCTATTTTTTATATTTTTTTTGCTTCCAAACCAACAACAGTTTTAGAGGGAGAGCGGCAGCGCTGTGCGTTAGCCGGTTACCCCTGGCAGCCCGCTGAAGCCTCCAAAGGGTGTGCAGGTGAGTTGACCCCGCCATTTCCACGGCCTTTTTTGATGTGTGGGACACTTTGCAGCTGCTGCTGGAGCACCACATCCGAGGGGCAGGGTGATGGGAGCTCCCTCTTCCCCAGGAGCCGCACCAGCACCCTGCGCTGTCAACGTTCAGCCCAGTTCGTACCAGCTGCGTATTCCCATAAATCACAGAATCACAGAATATTCCTGGTTGAAAGGGACCTTTGAGATCATTGAGATCAACCACAAAAAAACCCCAACAAAACAAACCCACCCACAAACAGACACAAACCAACAATCCTGGGCACTTAGAACATGCCCTGAAGTGCCATGTCTACACGTTTCTTCTTTCTCCAGGGATGGTGACTCCACCACCTCCCTGGGCAGGCTGTTCCAGTGCCTGACCACCCTCTCAGTAACCTAATTCTTCCTAATATCTAATCTAAACCTCCCCTGCTGCAACTTAGACCCTTTCCTCTGGTCCTGTCATTATTTACTTGGGATTATCATTACTCACCCTCAGCTTGAAAGGCTGTGTAAAGCATTTGAGAGCGTGTCCACGCTTGAGGACCGGTCCAAGGCTAATCAAATGTAACGAGTCTTTAAATTGACTAAATTGAGCTGGAAATGAGACCTTTGAAGCAGTTGCTGCTCAGGTTACTTACCAGCCCTGTGGTGGGGTAAGCTCTGCTGCCTGGAGCACGGTGGCCCTGAAGCAGTGATCTGTCAGCGTCAGGCCCCCAGTGCTACAACATCTGTTTGTGGATTTGCCGAGTCTTTCGGTGCGGGAGACCCTGGAGAAATGGGAGATCAAACGTGCAGCACAGCAGCCTTCAGCAAGCACTTTCCTACCCTTCAGTGGGAGTGACCTGAGCTCGGCGGTAGCCCTCGGGTCAAATAAATACTCTGCTGGTGGGATAAGTTAAAAGAAGGTTCTTGACACTCTTCCTGGGGCTGGCTGTGGGGGTTGTGGGGTCCTCCACAAAGCCCTGTGATCCCCCCCATCTCGCAGGAGGGCAGGGGAGGGGCAGTTTAGATGTAAGACAGCAAGTCAGACCCCTTGTCGGATCTTGTCCCCTTTCTTTCTCAGAGAGAGAGAAAAAAATCCCTGTTACCTTCTGGATGCTGGCTGGAGGCAGCCCAACGGTAGTGCCTGCCTCTCCACAGAGACACAGGGCAAAACGGGCTGCGCGCTCTGGGCTTTACATCCCTCCCTGCTCACTCACTGGGGAACTGGACTGGGTAGCAGTTGCCTAAGCCCTGATGACATCGTCTTCATAGAATCATAGAATCACAGAATGATTTGGGCTGGAAGGGACCTTAAAGATCATTGAGCTCCAATTCCCGTGCCATGGGCAGGGACGCCTCCGACTAGAGCAGGTTGCTCAAAGCCCCATCCAGCCTGGCCTTGAGTATCTTGATGATCAGAGGGATGGAGCACCTCTCCTATGAGGACAGGCTGAGGGAGCTGGGATTGTTCAGCCTGGAGAAGAGGAGGCTCCGGGGAGACCTTAGAGCGGCCTTTCAATATCTGAAGGGTGCCTATAGAAGAGCTGGGGAGGGACTCTTTGCTAGGAAGGGTAATGATAGGACAAGGGGAAACAGTTTTAAATTGGAAGAAAAAAGATTCAGATTAGATCTCAGGAAGAAATTTTTTACTATGAGGGTGGTGAGACACTGGCCCAGGTTGCCCAGAGAAGCTGTGGATGCCCCATCCCTGGAAGTGTTCAAGGCCAGGCTGGATGTGGCCTTGAGCAACCTGCTCTAGTGGGAGGTGTCCCTGCCCAGGGCAGGGGGGTTGGAACTCGATGATCTTTGAGGTCCCTTCCAACCCAAACCATTCTATGATTCTATGATTCTATGTTTCTGCATCGTCTCCAGGACAGCTTGAGCCACAGAAATTCAGCTTATGTTGGCAGACCCTCTAAGCTCCCCAGCACAGCCAGTGTGAAAGCACCAGAGCCAACACCAAAAGAATTAAATTCTCCTATTATGAGCTTTCTCAAGATTTTCATCCATATTTCTGTTCAAGTTCCTACTGTTGAAAACCAGATACAAAATGTGAAGTCCTACTGAGATGGTTTTATTACACACTTTATGGATATATATAATACAAATTACAATATGCACGGATCTGCAAGCAAATAAATGGAAAAGAACTGCCAGTTTAAAAAATGATTGCAATTCAGCAAACAAATTGGCTCATTCTACAACATGGTAGTTAAATGATTTGCATCAAGCTGATATTACTGTTAATTTTAAACTGTTGTTATTAACAACTTGTGGAAAATAAATTTTCAGTATTCCATTTCTTTCAGGCTTTCACGTTGCTCTTTTGTTTCAGTCCAATGAGACAGTCGCCCTTCACTAACTCAAAGTCATCTGGTAAATTACACAGGAACGTACAAATGAATCACGACCACATTTTATGAACTCCTAAGAATATCTGTCCTCATCTTAAATTTAGTAAAATCTGCCTAATTTTAATCTGGGGCTTAGGTCTGGTTGGCAGCATTGTCTTCGGCTGCAGTAATGTGTCTCTGCTGCAGAACTGGGTCTGCAGTGGGAAGCTGTTGGCAATGAAACCTGGTGTCCACGGGTTGTGGGGGTTTACTTCAAATTCTGGAAGCAGGTTAGCAGCTGGAGCACGTCCATCCACTGGTTTGGTTTCACACACTCCGGGAGCCTTCTGCAACTGAAGTGGCAACTGTGGACCACAGTGAGAGCTGCTTAAAAACATTCTCCTCATCCAGAGCAAAGCACTAACGATGGTGCATCACTGATTTGGTTCTATTCTTAACGTTCTCATCACTAAAGCGCTGGCTGGAATACTGTGTCCAGCTTTGGAGTCCTCAACACAGAAAGGACGTGGACCAGCTGGAACAGGTGCAGCGGAGGGCCACGAAGATGATCAGAGGGATGGAGCACCTCTCCTGTGAAGACAGGCTGAGGGAGCTGGGATTGTTTAGCCTGGAGAAGAGGAGGCTCCGGGGAGACCTTATAGCAGCCTTTCAATATCTGAAGGGTGCCTATAGAAGAGCTGGGGAGGGACTCTTTGCCAGGAAGGGTAATGATAGGACAAGGGGAAATGGTTTTAAATTGGAAGAAAAAAGATTCAGATTAGATATTGGGAAGAAATTTACTGTGAGGGTGGTGAGGCACTGGAACAGGTTGCCCAGGGAAGTTGTGGATGCCCCATCCCTGGAAGTGTTCAAGGCCAGGCTGGATGGGGCTTTGAGCAACCTGCTGTAGTGGGAGGTGTCCCTGCCCATGGCAGGGGAGTTGGAACTCCATGATCTTTGAGGTCCCTTCCAACCCAAACCATGCTATGATTCTATGATTCTATGAGAAAGATATAGCCCTTGAAGAGTACAGATATCTAAAAGAACATGCTTGATCATTCAAGGTCCAGAGAGCTTTACATAAACAGTCTCCAATGAAGTCCTGAAAACTGCTGAAAAAGCAAACTAGTCATTCCATGACTGAGATCCATATGTTTTCCGTTAAATTGTTGGCTGGCCATGCTCAAACAACTTACGACATCAGCTTCAGCCAGTAGAAACAGGTGCAGCTCCAGCTATCACAGCGCGGGTTTGGCAGCAGCAGAGGGCTGGCTATTCACTCACACAGTTCCCGTCAGCCTGGACGGGTTTTTTCTTCCCAAAGCAGCAGGTCTCAGCCGCCCTGACTGTTCTCACCGTCCCCGCTCTCGCTTTCAACAAAGAAGGGAGCCCTGATCTTCATGGCTGAGTATTTCAGGGAGTACCACATCCCGTGCCACGTAGACCAAACGATGCCGTTGTCGTGGGATCCGTTGTACCTCCCTGTCCTGTAGTACCGCCCATTGAGGTTTACGGCGTGGCACCTTGCGAGGAGAGGTGAGGGTTAGAAGGTGGGAAGACATTGCGTCATCGCAGTGAGGGACAATTTTCACACAACGTACGTTTAGAAATACCAAGGTGGGATTCACTGACAGGTTCAGACCCGTAGCTATATCTGTCTGCACTGAACTGGTTGTCTGAAGTCCTGCTATAAGCCTACGGAGATCTGCTTCATGCATTTAGTGGAACATGGAGAAGTATATGGGTCATCCCCCATCATTTTTGAGGAAAAACTTTTTTACTTTGAGGGTGGCAGAGCACTGGAACAGGCTGCCCAGAGAGGTTGTGGAGTCTCCTTCTCTGGATATATTCAAAACTTGCCTGGATGTGTTCCTGTGCAACCTGCTCTGGGTGGCCCTGCTTTGGCAGGGGGGGTTGGACTAAATGATCTCTGAAGGTCCTTTCCAACCCCTACCATTCTGTGATTCTGTGATCCTAAAGCAGACACCTACACCGGTCAGATAACTCAACCTGTTGACTCCTTCAACTGTATTAATTAGGGACATGATTCAGTTCACCTCCAGCTGCTGTGGGGCAGGCAAGTCCTCTTGGCGACACGGCCACCCACACCCTCTGTATCCCAGAGGAACCAACTGTTTTCCATACCTGTTAAACCACCAGCCACCCTTGTTCTCTAAAGCGCAGTTGCCTGCCAGGAATCGATCATGGTCCTTGTCAGATGTGGTGAACTCCATCCCTCTGTGAGAGGCTGACCACTGATCTTCAAAACTGCTCCCACCAGACAGAGCGTCGCCAGCGTTACCAGAATAGGTGCCAAACCATAACCTGTAATTGTCCTGCAAGAATATGGGAAACACGGCTTTGATATCGGCTCTCTCTGCCCTTCCTCCCATTTTTGAGCTCAAATTTGCTCTGACCATTGTATCCACTGTAAACGCCTGACTGTTGAAGCCCAGGGTGACTTTTGGCCCCACACTTTAATGACCCTAGTGTGGATCACGTTGGGATTTAAGCTTCCAGAAGGGATTGCTAATTATTGCTGCTGCTACAAAGGGCCTCAGGTTTTATTGTCTTTCCATAACCATTTGATAAACTGTACAACAAGCTGAAAGGTTCTTCCTGGCTCATCAGGAACAACTTGGCAGGAGACTGTGCCAAGTAGCTGCCTTCATAAATTCATCAGTTGTTAGAACAACTCCTGTTGGAATTTTGCTCCTGCAAGAGCTAAAAGCCATTTTATGTCTAGCTAAATGGCCTTGTCCTGGTAGGGATACCTAGAATAGTTCCATTGTGTGCAGCTAACTGATCTCGGAGACGTTTGATATGAGAGGGATGATTTGTTTTGTTGGTGTGGGCTTTTTCCTGTCATCATATTCCACTTTTATTTATGAAAAATAGGAGTAAGGCATTAAATCAAGCTGTTTAAACTTTTAATAAGAAATCTCTAATTGCAAACTGAACATAATGGATACATTTCTGGAGCAGTGAGGGAGTTGGGACTAGGACTGGTTCATGCAATGGAACTCAAGTCCTTGGCTATTTGGGCTACTCACAGGTGGTGTTCAGTGAGGGAAGCCTGCAAAGCAGCACCCGCATTGAGCAGAACACTGTCTAAAGCTAGAACGCAGACATGTAGGGGGCTACAGGAGAGATGGGGAGGGACTTTTTATCAGGGAAAGTAGCAACAGGACGAGGGGTAATGGTTTTAAACTGAAAGAGGGACAATCTAGATCTCAGGAAGAAATTCTTTACAGTGAGGGCGGTGAGACACTGGAACAGGTTGCCCAGAGAAGCTGTGGATGCCCCATCCCTGGAAGTGTTCAAGGCCAGGCTGGATGGAGCTTTCAGCAACCTGGTCTGGTGGGAGGTGTCCCTGCCCATGGCAGGGGGGTTGGAACTAGATGATCTTTGAGGTCCCTTCCAATCCAAACCATTCTATGATTCTATGAAAATAGAGGGATTTTCTGTCCTCAGGCTTTCGCTACTAAGTGTAGTGCTGCAAGTACCTCTATTTAAGACGAACTTACAACTACTCTTTTAAAGCCTTGATGAGAGTTCACTGCTTAAAACAGTAGAGGGGCTTTATTCTGGTAGCTGTGTTTTATGTGACAGCCTGAAACACTCCCTCTAGGCAGCAGAACAGGGTTCAGTTTCCTTGCAGAGGTTCAAACCCTTATCTCCTCCCTCATGGAAGACTCTTAACCATGAGGTTAGAGACAAACACACATGGGAACCCCTGTGGCCTGCAGCAAAGAGCTGCCCTCCTTGCAGTGGCAGAGTTAGCAAGAGAGCACGTGTCACCCGGTGGCTTGGGCACTCAGCGGTTGTGAGGAAGAAGTCACAGGCTGTTTGTCAGCCAGCCAAACCAGGAATCCCAGGGAAACGGAGCAAATAAGTTTTGCAGAGCTGTAATTACAACCCTGGTACTGAAGTCTGATGCTGCACACACAGATCTCTCCTCTCGCAGATAAAACAAGCAAATCGCCACTCTCTCCATTTCTCACCTGCTCCCCCGCAAGCTGTAAATTTTCGTAGACTGCGTAACGTCTTTCCCCGTGCCAGTCCATCAGGTCAATCTTTAATGAGGTCTCCCCTAAACACAAAGCGGTGTCCTCGTTAAATGAACTACCTCATGCAACTGGGAAAGAAATCTGCAGAGGGAAAATACTTGCACCTCTAGTGAGCAGGTCATGGATGTGGTCATTGCCCAGCCAGTATTCATCATTCTTGCCCTGGAATTTCCCAAATCCCAGTTTGTAATCATCCCATTTCCTGCAATGAGATACAAATACCAGTTTCAGCATGTGAGGGAATTAGACAGGTCGTGCCACTTAGTGTGGTAACAAGTAAAACTTCAGCTGTATCTCTAAGACATTGTTTTCTAAAAGTATCTGATTTATTGCGAGCTGAGCTGAGCTTTGTCACTTCTGCCTCAGAAGTAAATGCAACTCCCAGCTTACTTCTGTGCCTGCTAAACCTGTGCACATACTGGGACCAGACCTTCAAACTGCCAGGTGCAGAGTGAGGTTGTCAGTGGGACGGGAAGGGAAAGCAGCAGCTGTCATACTGGTCTGCAGCAAAGCCTCTGATACTGCTCTTCAGCGAGTCACAATTCAAACACACTCCTGGCTGGAAATTAATGTTGCAGTCTAAAATATGCTACAGTCTTGGATGCACGATGGGGTATGGTGAAGAATCAGAAACTGAGCAGAAGCTGCAAGATAAAGCTTCCAGATGAAGTTAAAAGGAAAGTATCTAGGTCTTCTTTGTGCTCCTGTTCCATTTAAATCTATTTTTGATCCATTGACCATTGATTTTTTCAGAATCACTGTTTGGATGTGGCAACTTGTCCTTCAAAGACATGTACTTATTTTTCACCAGGCTTCATCCTTCTAAGAGAAATCTCCTGCTGTTACTTTCTTCTCACCGTTTCATTCTCTTAAAATCTCCTCTGTTATTTATGTGTTATCTTTGATATTCACATATACTTCCTGCGTGTCATCATTTCCAGTTTTAGTAACCCAATGTTTATTCTCTCTCTCCTGTTGTTGTTCGGGATATTAATCCTGCCTGACCTACATACTAGTCAGTGTTCCTCCTCAGGATGTTTTTCATTCACCTGTGCTGAGAACAGGACTACCATGGCTCGAGAGCCACCACTCCCTGGGCAAGCCAGCTCAGAGCCAGTTGAGGTAGCTTTGCAGTGGACTCCACTCACTGTACGAGACACCAGACATGTCCTAAAAGTGTGAGTGCTGTGATTGATAGTGACTTAATCTGTGTGGGGGACATTTCTTCTTCACTGTGTTACCAGAGCATCTCTCCCCCTGGAGATTGTCAGGTGAAAGTTACCTCTCTGGGATTTTGCATGGAGAAAGGACAATCTGGACCAGTGGTTTGGCCTCTTTTTGAATGATCTGAATAAGGAAATAAATGTTACACCACACTGTACAGAATTCTTGATATGAGAACAAATATGTTCAATGGGTCTTGGTCTGTTTGCTGGCAGCAGATACCTGACAATTTGGAGTCTTTAACAGTCTCCAATAACGAAAAAAAAACCAAATATCTACACATTTACACACTCACTCAAATGCAGAGAAGCCATGGAACAAGTGTTACAGATCCATTTTGAAAATGGCCTCACACTACCAATATGCACCACTGGATTGTCCTAATGCAGAGTTATCATCACTAAAGTATAGTCTTGCATATCCTGCCTCTCAAATGCTGGGTTTTGCCAAGCAGCAGGACAGGGATGGGAGCTGGAGGCCTGACTGCAAGCCCTGTTGATGCAACCACGATGTACCCACCTGTTGAAATTCTCCTTGCCGTTACTCCGCCGCTGAATAACGGTCCACCCTCCGCCATCAGACATGTCACAGTACACCAGGAAAGGCTCTTGGTCTGCTCTGGGCCTGATCCGGTAGTAGCCGGTTTTGGTCTTCTTCCGGTTGTAGACCGCGGAGCAATCTAGACAGAAAAGTTTGTTGAATGGGAGGGACAGCAAAGAGAAGACGTATCCGAGAGGCTGTATGGGACAAGGACACTTGGCCAGTCTGTGTGTAGTTCTGCAAGGCTGGCAAAGCCAAAGCAAATGGTTGAGTAAGGTAGCAGCGATGCTGTTTTGCAAACTGCTGGGCCTGAAGATAAGCAGCAAGGCTCAAGAGCCTTTACAGCCATGCCCTCTCAGGGAGTCATTCCCAAATCTTTGGTCAGACACAGGTTGGCTACAGCTCAGGCTGGGGCTGTAGCACGGGCTGCGCAGGACCAGGACTGGCTCTGTCAGCAAGATCATTTGCAGGGCAGCCAATTTCCACATGGGAGGTAACCTCAGCTGGACTTCACACTGAATTGAGGCCTAAAATATCTAAAATAAGAAGCTAAGGTCCCGTGAGCAGCTCTACCAGGGTTATATCTGGAGAATCCCTTTTAGGACCTCCGAGCTTCACACTTTCAAAGATGCTCACAAAGGATGAAATCTTGGCCACAGGTCACAATTCCAGTTATGACAGTGTTCTCAAAGTGACACCAAGGAACACAGCACTCAGATCTGCTATTGAAATACAGAAGTGATGGAGGAGCCAAGGAACAGGGAGGCCGGGCTCCTCCAAACAGGTTTTGGTGCCCACAGCTGAGCCACGCACTCTGGGCTCCTGTAAACCACCCAGGGAAAATGTGCTCTTCAAAAGCAAGACCCATCTCTTCCTAAAGCAGACGTTCAAACTAGCTCTGGTGGAAAGCAGCTGAGAGGCCCTTGTTCCTCTCTGCACCAGAGTCCCAGGTGAGAAGCCCAGCTGCAGGTGTCTGTGTTGTACCTGGGTGGTAGCTGCCTAAATCTGGCCAGCTGACTCCAGCCCTAGGGAATGTCTGCTGGTACCAGGGCCACCAGTCTGCCCTTCTCCTTCCCATGTATTTGACTGCATTTTAAAACACAATCCACTTTATAAATTCCCAAACTTTTAGCAGAAATAAAAACATGACACATGGGACACTGCAGGGCGAAATAAACATTTTGGCAAGCTGAAATTTCCACATACACCACTGCAAACTGTACCTTCATCGTAGACTATCAAATTTCCACTGGTCGTGGGTAATAGTGTCTCGTGCTGCACGCTCCTGTTGCCTGAGAACAGCCCACTTTTTGTTCTATGGTAAGTGTTCTCCAGGATGTCCTTCAGTTGCAGTTCATACAAATAAAGCAAGTCTTGAAGCTGTTTTAACCTTTGTCTTAATTTATTGTTGTCTAGGAGGCAGATATCTTTTTCCTATGGAGAAAATAAAACAAAAACAAAAACAAAACCCCATGCTTCAGTCAGTGGTAAGAACAGAGAGGCAGAGGGAGAAGGAGTATCTGTCTCCTCTTGATCCTAACATAGCCCACTGCTTCTGTGGATCAAAATGATTTGACGGTCTCTTCCTAAGATACAGGAAACTTGCACAGCTTGGGCTGTTGAGATGAACCCAGTGGAGAAGAGTTTTCTAGAATGACCTTGCCACTGCTCAGAGCATCCCAGAATATGATCAGATACACACAAAGTTACTTTGGATGAATAGAATTCACCTCGACTCCCATTTAATGAACTTGGAGCGTTTACAGACTACAAAACAGCTCAGCGTAGTAAGAAGGGGGAAAACCTGCTCTTGCACTGCAGCCAGGCCAAACCAGCAAGGTTCCAGAAACATCTTCTTGTAAAACTGGAAGATAAAAGAGCAAATCAGCAGAAAGCAGTGAGCCTACCGAGATGAGTGGAATAACTTCAGAGCTGCATTACTGTGACCAGGACGAGAATGTTGCCCAAACTGGCAGGGATAAACATTTTAAGTAACATTTAGTCTGTAGCTGGTGTTACTCCATTAAAAATGTAACAAAATAGAGCAAAATTTCTTCCTAGACAGCCAAGCAAACCCGTGCAACAAGAATCACTGGCTATTTTTGCTCTGAGCAAGCTGGGTTGAGTGACACCAGGTCAGGACCAGTTCTAGGCATCAGCGAAACAAGCAGGTTGCCCAGGACAGCAGACTGACTACTCTGCTTAGACATGGTCTCCCAGCTGCCTCTTTCTTCTCCTAGGTCTCTTAGTTTTCCTCCACAGAGGAGGAATTCCAGGCCGGAGGCACACGGGGACCTGCTGCAGGCAGCTCCCAGCTCGCCAAAGTCTCCTTGCCAAGCTCTGTACCTCCTTGCTATAGCCCAAGAGTCATTTTCTCATCAGATGAGTACAGATTGGCTCAGGCTGTGCCTACCTCCTCTTCCCCTTCCCATTCTCTAAAACACATTGAATAAAAGGAAGGCAGTTTTCCGTGAGAGAATGGAGCGGAGTATTTCTTCACTGGCCATAAAATCACCTTTTAAAAAAAATTAAATAAATAAAAGGGCTTTTCTTGTTGCTGTTTTTAATTCTTGGCAATGTCAGTCCAGCCACCAAGAAGGCTGCAAAGCCCCTAATGCTGTGAAAGCCCTATATTATGAGGACAGCAAGAATGACCTTCCTTTAGCTGCAGGCAGATACCTTTTTGCTCTGCTCTCGCAGCCCCATGTCCTTCTTGTGGGGAAGCACCCACCTCTACAGTACTGGGAACGATAAACCATTGGCACAATCACAACGCAGAGGGGTCGTACAGACACTAGCTAAAGGATACGCACCGAAAACCTGGGTGCAGCTGAGCTGAAGCTGACCAGAAGAAGGAGCAGCAGCAACCAGGGCATCATCACGCTCATTTCTTACCACCTGCAAAGAAGCATTGACAGGCTGCACTGGAGGTTTCTTTAGTTCCTCTTACAATTTAATTCCCCCTCACAAGCGTATTAAATTCCCCAGAAAATGCTGCAGAATTTGCTAAGGAGGTTGCTTGAAACTACAGACAGGGCAAAATCAGGAAAAGATGCATGTTAGGGAGAAGCTGAAGCACCATGCAGTGTGCTGACAGAGGGACTGAGGTCTGGGTCCAAGCTCCTGCTTCCCTGGACCAATAAATACCTGGTATGACCCTCCAGCAGCCTCTGCCCCTTCTCCCCAGTGCCCCCACAGATGGGAAGCTACTCAGCATTAATGCCTCCTTGGAGGACTCCTTGCCAAACTGGTTGGCTAAAACCACACAGTCCTTATTCTGTCTAAATTCCCCAAAGTTAAGAGGAATTTTTCCTCCTGGTTGAGTGAGTGTAGGCATTGCCCCTCCTTGGTCCATGGATTGGTCTGTCAGGATGGGATCACCTTGGAGCCCGAGGGCAGACATCACCCATGGGACAGGGTGGGTGAGTTTTTGCTGGGATTTCAGTGGAAGAGATCTCTGCTGCTGACCTGCCCCAGCACAGAGATGGGGCTTTGGTGGGAGAGTCCCAGATGAAAAAAATGGAAAAAAGCAACTGCCACTGGGAACATGCAGCTGAAGGCGAGAGAACAGTACAAATTGTTCATGGCATGCTCGCGTGGTGCTTTAAAAAAAAAATAAAAAAAAAATCAGAAAGAATTAAAAAAATCTGAAATATAGGCTAAAACCAACTCCCCCGCTTCACATCTGGAAGTGCTGCAGAAACTTGGCTTCCCAGCTCTGCACTCTCGGCGACGTGCTTTGTTTCAGCGAGGGCTCCGTTAGCATCCCCACGGCGGCTGGTGCTGGGGCTGCTCCCGGAGCCGGGAAAGCCGCTGGCCAGAGGGGAGCCAAGCCCAGAGCCAGCTGAGAGAAGCAGCACCCTGTGGAAGTCACTAAAAGATGTCGAGCAGGAAAGGATCAGGCCCCGTAGCGTGTGGGTGGAGGCAAAAAAGCTAACAGGAAGGATGGGTTCGAGCGGTGGCTCCTGAAAACCAGGCAGTGCAGACCAGAGGGGAAGAAAGCAACTTCGTCTACACTTTCATCCACACGCATTAAATGCACATACCTGTAACTTGCCTTTCCTTCAGACCTCCTCCTGGTAAGATTAGCTCCCTTAAAAGTCAACTGCAAAAGGAAAGTGCTGATAAACCTGGCTGCGTTTCTAGAGGCTGATGAGATTTTCCTCTCCAGATGGCCCACATCAAGGGCGCAGACGAAGATGGTTTCGCAGCACCAGGCAGTTCCACAGAAATTCCTCGCCTGCAAGAGTTACCCAAACCCCGTTTTGTCTGTTGTTACCCAGTCCTCATCCTGCTGCTTCCCAGTCAGGATAAAGGACAGGCAGGTTTCCACCGGCAGTGCTCTCCCAAGGAGAGGGGCTCTGCACCATTAGCCACCTTATTTGACTAGGAACTAAGATGGGCTTCTTTAAGTGTTTATATGAATCACTCAGACTAATGCTCCCCGAGGGAGTTTTATCTCATGTTTAATACAGCCAGGGTCATCTCAGTAAGTCCATCCTGCAAGGTGGAAATAACACAGCTCTTCCGCTCAGCGTTCCTTTCGCTGCTTAATCTGGTTTATATGTTAAAGCACAGCACAGCTGTAATGGCAAAGGAGCTGCAAATCTGAAGCAAGAAGCGACCACAGGGGTATTAAGCAAGATTCGCTATTCAACTGAAATCTCAGGAGGTTTGCAGTTGTGTAACTCTCCTTTGAGCAGCATGATTAGATTTGCTGGTTAACACAAACAAGGACATTTGTGGAAGAAAGGAAAAAAACCCACCCAAATAAACAGATGGGTGCCTCCCTTTGCGTTACGGCCAAGGAATTACAGATTATTTTAAAGAAAACAGCAGGAATGTGCCATTTTACAGAGCTGTGTTCGAAGGAGGGACCAGGGGCAAAAAGACCAGGCACACAAGCCCATCATAAACTTCTGTATTACTCTCCAGGAAAGCAGGACTGTCCAGCTATTACCAACTACAGCCATGCTGTATATTTCTGCATTTAAAACCTGCATTCCTCTTCTCCCGCAAGAACCTCCGCTGACCCATTTCCCTGCCAAAGCATTATGCAAACGGTGCTTTTCTTCCCACTTGTTCTCTACCCCCAGCTTTAAGCTGGTTTTGGAAGCTGTGAAATTAAATGAGTGGAAACATCTCCTCTCCTCCTTAGTGGGTACTTGGCCCTTTCTTCAGTCCCTTCGGCCAGCGGCTGCAGCTGATGGTGGGGTGCTGGGGTACCACACTCCCGAGCACAGGGGGGCTGTACTCCATCTCCTGGGGTGGTCATCCACAGCAGCCTCTTCCTTAACTGGAGCCAGCCAGCCAGCATTTGGGACACTGCCCACCAATTTGTCTTGCCTTAGTGGCCAACAACCTTCTTGACCCACGGGCACCTCCAGATCCTGGATGGCATCAATGCCGGGCCTGGGTCTGCAGTGGCAGTGTTGGAGTCACGGTGTGACCAGCAGGAAGCATCAGGCCACACGTTTCCAATTCCTGCTGGTCCCAGGGCAGGAGGGGGTGGTGGAGCTGCAGTCCTGGTGGGACTCATGGGTCTATGTTATGCGATTGGAACTTCGTAGGAACAAGACTCAAAGTCCAACTCTCCTTCAGAGACCCCCCCAAACACCTCTCAGAGCCAAGACACCTGGAGCACTCTCATGCTCTCCTGAGGACTCCACCAGTGTTAGCCTCACCAGTGTCTGCATGTGAAAAACCCAGTCATCCAGAATGTGTTTCTTGCGTACTTGCTTCATGATGAACTTGTTTTCCCAGGCTAGATGAAGCTTTAGGAATATCTGAAGCACAAGAGAGGGATTGCCATGAGGTTGAGGTGGGGTGGGGCCCTCACGTGAGGTGGGGCTAGCAGGATGGCGTGTTCATGTACTGCTCCACTGGCCCAGAGCTAAAATAAGTCATCATAAAGAACATGGACACCATGTGATCACCAGTGTTGTTTCCTCACAGATGTTGAAGTCCCCAGGCAATGGGATTGTAAACGCTCCTTCTTTTTTTTTCTTTTTCCTGGAATACACATGCTGCACACATATTCTGCACTGCAAACTCCTGATTAGTTACTTGGAAGGAGATCAAATTCCCTCTTTTTAAGATACTCAGTGATCTTGTCAGCAAATAAAAACAGTTACATTAACTAAAAACCTCCCCACCCTGCTCTCCTCCACCCTCCTTCCAGCAAAAGTACGTAGGTGCTGAACAACAGTCAAGAAAACCTATTATTCACACGTGAAATGCACAGCCAGCATAGCAAGAATGCAAACTGGTGGATAAAGGTGAATGAAGAGAGTGGCTCTGGGGCAGCTCTTGATATTCCTGCAGCCACAGGGCACCGGGCTCCCCCAGAAAGAATGGTCTGGGATGAAGACATGAAGGTGACACCCAATGGATCTTCACTCCCCCAGAGCCCAATGGAACATCCCTGCAGCTGGAAGACAGTGGTGGCTTCTCAAAACTCTTCCAAGACCAGTTCCTCCTTGTTTGTTCTTAAAGAGGGAAGGGAAGAAATGAGGTGGATCACTTCAGACTCCAGAGGAGGTACAGAAACCTGAGGTTTTCACAGCAGGAATCTGACTGCCTAGGTGTGTCCCAGGAAAAATCAGAGCAGTCTACATCCAGCTCAAAGCGAAACAGTTCATTTGCACTGAGTCCAGGTGCTTTATGCATTTGCCATTATATTTATACTCCTCTATCATGTCCCACCTTCCATAAATACCCTGCTCACTGGGAGAGACTGTGGACCAGGCTCCTTTGCAGGCCCTCAATGTGTGAGCTACCGTACATCTTCTGTAGGAATCTGAGCTGCCAGATTAGTTAATGTGTGAGATCTGAAACAAATATTTATTTATTTATTTATTAAATCTAACAAGGAAGGGTTTCATCAAAAGTAAGATAAATTTAAAAGATCAGGATGACACCAGCCACTGGAGTTTCAATCTACGAAATAACCGAAACCAGCATTTGCGCATTAAAAGTCTGTGGTTTGTTAGCAAGGAGTAACCACAGAAATCTGTGTACAAAGGAGGAGTAATGGTGGCAGCCCATGAAACATGCTAGATCTAACTGTTTTGATAACGTTCAAAGAGCAAAGACATAATTCAGTCGAACTAATGAGTCTGCGTGCAGCTTATGAGTATCTAATGGGTTGACACAACAAACGTAATTAGTTTATAAGTTCCCGAGGGCAAGCACAGGTCCGAGCGGATCTCACTTCCATCAGGAATAGCTGTACCAAAGGGAATTAGTCACAAGGCCAGAGGGAGTATGTGAATTATCTGCGTGATCTTCTACCTACCTGAGGTCAGAGAACTCCTCTGACCTAATCCACTCCCATTTGAACTAGAGCATCTCTTTGAGAAAAAGACATTTTTGGTGTAAAAAATTCAGCGTTTGAAGAACCAGCCACAGACCTTAGCATGCTCTTCCACTACTTAATTACCCGCATTGTTAATTATTATCGGGGTTTTTTTGTCCTGAGTGTGAATCTGCCAAGTCTCATCCTGCAGTTTTTTAATCTTGTGATGCCTTACTCTGCGAAGGAGAAGAGCCCTCTGCTGCCAAATGTCTTCTCCCCTGCTTAAGGCTAGGTCTAAGCTGTGCCTGCCCCTGCCTGGGAACCCAAACCCCGTGAGCTGCTTTGGCTGCAGGTGTACCTGCTGGGGGAAAGCCATGGAGTGAGGGGTTGCATGGACCATGTCCTGTGCAAAGCTGGACACCATGGCATGAACACATCATAGAATCATAGACTCATACAATCGTCCAGGCTGGAAGGGACCTCCAAGGGTCATCTAGTCCGACCCCTCCGCAGTCAGCAGGGACACCCCCAACTAGACCAGGTTGCCCAGGGTCTCATCGAGCCTCACCTTGAATATCTCCAGGGATGGGGCCTCAACCACCTCCCTGGGCAACCTGTTCCAGTGCTCCACCACCCTCACAGTAAAGAACTTTCTCCTAATCTCCAATCTAAATCTGCTCCCCTCCAGCTTAAAGCCACTGCCCCTCGTCCTGTCACTTCAGGCCTTTGTAAACAGGTTCTCCCCAGCCTTCCTGTAGGCTCCCTTCAGGTACTGGAAGGCTGCTATTAGGTCTCCCCGGAGCCTCCTCTTCTCCAGGCTGAAAGGAAGAGAACTAGTGGGTAGGGGACTCGGCTGCCATGGGGAGGGAGGAAGGGCAAGAGCCAGTTCTGCTCCTGGAGTGATTTAATTCCTGGTTGTTTAATGCAGAACACATACACAGAGGTGAGAAGAACTATGGGTGGTGTATGGTGGGTTATGGTGGAGGTGAGTTAAGGGGGCTGCCTGTTTTTGGGATCCTGATGCACCCTAGGCAGGGGCAAGCAGCAGAGTTAAGTGGCCAAGACAGTCCAGGGCATACACAGAAGTGCAGGTTCCCGGGGGAATCTCTGCAGCCCAACAGAGCAGTACCCAATCAATGTAATTGCCTCTAGCATTAGGCAGCTGCTGAACAAGTACCTTTCTAGGTCTAAATTTAAGTCTGCTTACAGCCCTTTGAGAGCACCTAGACCTTTTTCCAGATCCATCCCTGACTGATTGTGATTAATGCACTTCTTATCTTCTCTTTCACAAGGACAGATAGCTTTGAGCTCCTCACCCAGGTGTGATGAGGTGCACTGCACAGCCTTTTACTCACACCACGGCTCTTCCCTCTTCTTTCTGGAGTTGTGCTTACCAGGACTGCAGAGCAGAGAGCACAGAGAAGCCAAGTAAAGATCTTAAGCAATGTTTCCAACCCAGCTCCTTTCCTTTTTGTGGATCCAAGGATCTTGCTATTCCTTTTGTCACAAAGCCACATGGCACAATCACCCACGGCTGGCTCCTCCCTGCTGCTACCCCAGGCTTTTTCAGTTACCTGTTTTTATAATGCAGTCGCTGATGCTCCAAGTGTCTGACCTGCCACGGTGTTCTCTCCTAAAGTCAGGATGATTGTGATTTGCAAGACGTGAGAAGCTAGTCCAGAAATGCTTGCAAGCTTTTTGACAGGTATGCACATACTCCATGCAAGTGGCAGGTGCCTCATAGTGACAGTCACTGGGACTGTAAGTAGACCAAGGATTTTTTTTAAAGATCTTGGATGGTCCTTCAGGTACGAAGGTGCCGAAAAGCACCATCCTGAGGCTCTTTGTTCCGAGGCTGACAGTGGATGTATGGAAATGCATGTTTCTCACTCATCTGCACTTACCAGATGTTACAATTTACTCAGGGATAGGCAGCTTTCTTCTTTCCAACTGGTTTTCCATGCTGCCTCAGCTGCAAACTTCAGCACTGGGGTTTTTATCTGGGGCATGGTTTAAAACAAAACAATAACACATTAAACAGAGTAAGACAGCACCCGATCCCTGCAGCACCTCTCTGGAAAAGGATTGCTTCGGCATGGTTCTCCTTTTAGTTATTTTAAGATTGGTGCGCTGGGTTTTCACCAACGTG